TTATTCTCAATTTTATTTATCGTATTTGATATGTTTTATTTATATTATTGGATAAAATATCATAATTTTAAATTTATAATTAAATACGCAAGGTTTTTATTTAATCGATATGATTTGAACAAAAGATTAAAAAATTAAGTTGTTTTGCTATTTCTCTTTTCATTATAATTTTCAAGAACTAAGGATTTAAAAAAACGCACCAAAAAATAAACCCTACTCCCACCAATATAAACCCTACATTCTAAACCCTAACCCTACAATAAACACCCACCCTCTCCCCCATCAGTACAGTACACCATAACCACATAATAGACAAATGTTTTTATTTGAATTAAATATTTTTGCTTAATTTGGTGTAATTGTTGTTGTTGCACAAAATTTCATATGATATTTTAAGAATTTCAAATGTTATTATTTAATCGATATGATTTGAACAAAAGATTAAAAAATTTAGTTGTTTTCCTATTTCGGCGTTTCATTAGAATTTTCAAGAACTATAGATTTAAAAAGTGCACAAAAAACTAAACCCTACACCCACCAATATAAACCCTACCTTCTAAACTCTAACCCTACAATAACCCCACAAAAAATGGAGCCTTGTGCACCTTGTAGTCCCGCACTTTGTGCGAGTACAAAGATTTTAATAATATAAGTAGTAGAATTTATGATTGTATTCATCGTTTATGTTTTCGCCGACTTTTTATTTTTCTAATCTGAGTGTGTTTTACTTTTGTCTTTTTTTCTCTCATTCTTCTGCATAATCTTCTTTATTTGCTTAAAGAGATACACAAGATTTTTCACTTCTTGTTTTCTTCTCCCTATTATTCTTCTCCAAGATACAAAAGATACAAAAGAAGAAAACTCGAAGAGAAAAAAGAAAACAAAGAAGAAAAAATGAAATGCGAAGAGAAAAAAGACAAATAAGAAATAAATAAAAATTAGAATAAGATGATGTCAGAAAAAACAAAGATGATAAAGATAGAGAGTGAGGGGAATGAGGAAGAAGAAAAAACGTAAAAAGAATATAAAGAAAATTAGAAAGAAAAAGAAGAATAGTAAGTTGGAGGATATGAAGACATAAGAAATGATTGAAGAACGAAAATTTGAAAAAGAAGAAGTGGGGAAAAAAAAGATGATGACAACGAAGAAATAAATGGAAGAAAAAAAAAGATGGGATCAGTGAAAAAGAATAAGAGGGAGAAGAAAACAACCATTAAAAAGTTAACTATTTTTCTTTTTCTAGATCTTTCACAGTTGATAAGTTCGTATCAAATTAACAAAATGTTAAGCTATTACTTCCTTTGAAAATAAACACATTACAAAAATATGAAAAATAATTAAAAAGAAAATGTGTTCATCTAATATTAATTGAAAGGATTTGAAGTTCTAAAACATCTCTTGGCCGTGACCAGCGCAGGCTTGAGAATTTTTAAAAAGGAAATTGTTTGTAATAATAATAATATTAGATCATTTAAAAAAAAAAAATCTTTGGAATTTGTTTGTCATTTAATTTAATTTTCCTGTATTTAAATTATGTTTTTCCAAATCAACACGATATTTTTTCATTAAATTTCTTTTGTATTTTTTTTCATATCTTTCTTCCAAATTTTCTTATACCTCTTCGTCTCTCCCTCCTTCTGTATCTCCTTTGCTTTTCCGACTATTGATTCTTTTCAAAAACATTAACATATATTCATATCTTATATCTCTTTCCAGTTGAGGCAAATCTCCTCTTTAAAAAAAAGACACGTGGCATTGTCCCATTAAAAAATAAATTCGTTGAATTTACTAAAAAAATAAATTAAACACAGAAATCATAATCGAACGAAAATCGTTTAGGGTTCCGTCCCCATCGCCACCGACCGCCACCGACAACGACTTCACGACTTCTCAGTGAGAGAAACAGTAACCGGATCGCAGAGCTTCACAATCAAGGGGATTCCGAACGAATCCTGCCCAGCTCGGATCTAGAGCTTGAATCTCAAATCTCAAATCTCAAACGAAGCTGTAATACGGTTCTCCGCCGTCCCGAAACCTCTCTCGGACAAACAACCAGTGCTCCGTCACCACATCCTCCGCCGACAGTTGATCTTTTATGGGCATCACCTCACACCCTTAAACATCCTGGACCTTAAAGTCTCAGCCGTTCTGCAGTCTCTCTCCAATGAGACAAATACATGCTTTCCAGGTCCCGCCGTCTCGAATACTCCACCGCCATTGCCACGATCAAAACTTTCTACCGTCGTACTGCTGCAAATACCAAATCGATCAACCGAATGAATAAGCCGGAAGTTCAGCCACCTCCGCCGCGGATCTCAGGCTGCACAACCATTTCGGCATCTCTGTGGGTTAATGTTCGAGTGACGTGAGGGTTTTTTTCCAAAATCAAATTCAGGCGATGGATGGGTTTAAGGTTTCTGGGCTTTCTATTGTTTTCTTAAATCAAATTGGGCTTTTTATTGGCTCTTAGTGACAATATAACTTCAACTTTGTGTGTTATCCTGTTTTTATATCATTTTGATCCACCACCCATTCACTACTTTATTGTATTTATTAGAGTTTGGCTCTTTCACCATTTTAATAATCTTTTCTTTTTAACTGAAACGTTCCTTGGCCTTTCCACTTCTTCGTTGATTCCTATATCACGTTTTTAATGATCTCAGATTTTAGTGTGTTCGTCGATTCCTAACCCATTCAGCTATCTTCTCCTGCAATCGAGAGAAAAGCAAGTGAAGGGCGGTGAATCACAAAATCATGAACGAAAGTTTATTGTTTCGGACAAACCCGAGCAGTCTACTCAGATCGAACAAAAGTGAGAAGTGAACTGCCAAATCTGGGATGGTAGGTTTGGACAAAGTATGCTCCTCGGGGTCCAAATTCGCCTCAAATGATTTCGTCCGGTAAGATCTCAGCCCGGAAAATGATTCGTTGTGAATCTGCTTCCTCTGTACTTTGTTGATCCATGTTTTTTGCAATGTTTTACTTCTGCATCAGAATATTCGCAGACTGAAAGCATTGTTTTGTGTAGTCAGTTTATTCCACGTAAGCGCAAACTGGAAACTTGATATAATAGTTCGTATTGTCTTCTGGGTTGGACAGCTCCAACATCACAATTTGGTCAAAACTAAACGATGAGAGATCACCAATGAGAGATAAATGCCAAATATTCAGTGACTTTTCTCGAGATATTTTAATTCGTTTTTACTTTCATATGTTTAGATTTACAAAAAAACATTCGTACACTCCAACTCTCGCTTTTCTTATTATCTGTGTTCAATAAAAATGAAATCATTCAATAATTTCCATTTTGTTTGTTGTTTTCCTTTTTGCTAAAGGGTTACCATTTTGTTTGTTGTTTTCCTTTTTGCTAAAGAGTTACCATTTTGTTTGTTGTTTCAGGTTATGGCAACACACCAGTCTTGATCCGAACATTATGCATGTACCTTACAAGTTTGATATGATGGAGAAGGCTCTTAAGCTAACATACTAAACGTCTTGCTTCAAATTTTCTCTCCAGTGTTTTGCCAGCTGTTTCAACACTCAAATTTATTCTTACAGCCAAATTTAAGGTAATCGTGCTGTACCATTCTTTTTTTCTGTGTGCTGTTTTATCATCTTAGATTCGAAGGGAATATTTCAATTACTTTTTACTGAATGAATTATTGTGTTCATTACATATTCAATAATATCTTTTTAGTGGGGAATGAGATAGAGCAACTGTGGAATTTGTCTTATTTCAATTGGGATACTTAAAACTATCCATTTGCTTTAAACGTTTTCAAATGTTATTTGATCATGTACCTTAATATCAAATATCAATACCCCAAGACTTACAAGAGGTTAACTTTTTCCCTTACTATCTCACTCTGCTATATACTGATTAAACAGTAAACGCTTTATATTTATAGATATGATGCATTTGTCTCCTGGCAAATCCCAAGTTGCCAGCTATGCTGTACAAGCTTCAGTCTAGCCAGAAAGCTCCAGTTGCTTTGGTGCCAAACTTGGAAGACGCTAGGAACATAGGAGTTTATAAAAAGGTAATCAAATTATAATTTCTGTGAAATTTTGTAAGATAACTTTTGTCATTAGGATTTCTATTTCTTCACATATTTCTTTTTTTCTAAACTACCAAGTCTTAGGTTTTAACATATATATAGGGATAAAGTTTTGGTTGTAAGACTCATCCAAGCTAAAAAGTTCTTTCGAGGTTTCTCTTGGGTAGCCGAGGGAAAGTTCATTCTTTAACAGTTATAAAATAAATTAAGATGCAGCGTTTGGAGATATGGATTTTGTTTTTCTTATTTTCTTCAAGCTTCGCATTTGCATTCTCTCCTCCGCATATGGGTTTTAGTTTCTTCTTGTTTACAGAAAACCTCCCTATTTCATTCATATTTCAGGCGGAGCATACTATTTCCAACTTCACCTCCCATCAAGGTCGACACCGCTGAATAGCGGCTGGAGATACTTGGAACGATATGGTTATCATTATGGAAGTGATTATACACGCCCTCTACTTGCCATTGATCAATTTGTTTATAAGGTTTGCTTTTCTGATGAAACAGTGTGTTTTAGTGATAATTCTTAATTCAATTGTATGATCCATCGTCCTCATTTTTGGTATAAAGAGTGTGAATTGCTAAATTCTTCTGTTTCTGTGTCTATGTTTCAGGCGCCACACTTGCAGCTAGAGCCACTGTGTTGCTATTTATCGAATTTGAGTATTTTAGATTACAAAGCTGTGAAGTTTGTGCCATCTTTGTTAGCTATTTTAATTTTCTCTACAGGCTGCTGCTGCTATCTCAGTTTCAATTGTAAACAAAACGTTCTCTTAGAAGATCCGTCTTCAAGGTGATGCATCCAAATCTCTCAAATACCTTTTCTATTTCGATCTCTATAAGCATAGAGATTCACACATGAGACTAAACTTTGGATTTGCGTTCTTTAAGCTCTGTTTGTTTGATTCTTGAGTTTGATCATAAGCCTTATCCTTGCTTGTGATGTACCACTTTTTCCTTTTGCAGCAGAACAATAGCATAAACTTCAACAGTAAGCCATGGTCATCTTCCTTAGCATTGAACCAAAGAACAACAAGCATAGGGGATTCAAAACGGTACACGAACTCAACAATATGCATGTCGGTTCAGCAAACAAGTAGCTCCAAGGTCTCTGTCTCTCCTATAGAGTTGGAAGACCCTAAAGATCCTCCATTGCACTTGTACAAACCCAAGGAAGCTTACACAGCCAAGATCGTCTCCGTGGAGCGAGTCGTTGGCGCAAACGCCCCAGGAGAAACTTGCCACATCGTCATCTATCATGACGGTAACCTTCCTTACTGGGAAGGACAGAGCTACGGTGTGATCCCTCCAGTGAGTCATGTTCCCTTGTGCTCTTATATTGTTTCATTGTCTTTAAGTCAATCTTATTCTATTAATCTTGTGCGTGTAGGGTGAGAATCCGAAGAAACCAGGAGCCCCACATAATGTGCGCCTTTACTCCATTGCATCAACGAGGTATGGAGATTTCTTTGACGGTAAGACAGCGAGTTTGTGTGTGCGAAGATCCTTCAAAGAACAGCGTCTGCAGCAACTTCCTATGTGATTCAAAGCCCGGAGACAAGATTCAAATCTCTGGTATGTTAACTAAATACATATAGACACCTTGAAAGAAGATTTTTTGGACTTAATATAATTTTTCGAAACCAGGTCCATCGGGGAAGGTAATGCTATTACCAGAGGATGATCCAAACGCGACGCACATAATGATAGCCACGGGAACAGGAGTGGCTCCTTACAGAGGCTACTTACGTCGAATGTTCATGGAAAACGTACCAAACTACAAATTTGGCGGCTTAGCTTGGCTCTTCTTAGGTGTGGCCAACACGGATAGTCTTCTCTTCTCTAGGACGATGAGTTTAGCAAGTACTTAAAAGGACCATCCGGAGAACTTTAGGTATAAAATTTTGTATTAGTCACAACCCGCGCATCGCGCGGGCTTAGCCCTAGTTTTTATAAATGCACCAAAAACTAAACTCTACACCTACCAATATAAACCCTACACCCTAAACCCTAACCCCATTTATAACCCCCCCTAACATCCTAAACCCTAATCCCACATTATTAACCCTTTCTCCCATACCATATACCATAACCCTAAATTATAAATTGGTTCTGAAATTGCTTTTATTGTTTAGTTTTTCTAAAAGAAATTGTTGTTATTTTTCTTTTGAATCGGCAATGTTCATATTAAATTGATAAGGAAAAAATGAATAAAATATATTTATAATGGTTGCAAGTTGTGCGAACATATAGTTATTAATAAATCTACAAACACAAAATCCATCATTGAAATACTTGAGGACAAAGCTGATAATGTAAACAAAATAGAGAAAAAATGATGTAAACAAAATACAAAACACAGTTCCAACTTCCATCATTACAAGGACTTGATGAGGAGAAGTGAGTCAAGTGACAATATCTTTGCATAAAACCCATCAACAAATATTCATTTCTAAGACATAAGACTGAGAAACACATCGGCATCACCAAAAATATAAAATACCTCCAAATTTCCTTGAACCTGTAGCTTTTAATGCTTGGGAGCCAACAAGTGAGAGAGAGATTAGAGAAAAGAGATGTTTTAGAACAACACGAAAGACAAATAGTTGCCAAATCTTTAATGTTTAGAAGACAAATAGATACAATGTTCGTGTGAGCATAAAAGATTAAGCGATTATTCATTTTCTCCCTAAACCCTAAACCCCGGCAACGGCCCCAGTTTGAAAACAAGATTTTTAGTAGATTCAAACCCTCAAATCTCTGCTCATATCATGCAGTATAGTTAAGGTATCAATCCAAATCTCGGAGAAGATTGGGTTTTAAAGATGCAAGAAAGCTTCAAGCCAAGAACAAAGATTTGGTTTTTATGAAATCCGAACGTTAAACAGTAAAATACAAACTTAGAACAGTAAATAACGGTCCAAATCCGAATTCAAAGAGGAAAGTTTCGACTTTGAGCTAAAAGACTTGAACTTTATAAAAGGAAATGAAGAAAGGCGATGGCTTTAGGTGATTTCGGATGAAAATCGAGCTAAAGGAAGAGACTTTAAGACTTAGAAGATAAAACCGAGTTTCTAGGCTAAGGAAAACGAAAGCAAGAGCTTATCACTATCGTGAATGAGCTCGAATGCAAGGTCAAACTCAAGAGCTGACTATCGTCAGTGAGCTTGTACACAAGCAAGCTTTAAACGCAGATCCCAACACCAAAGAACCCTCTAAACAAACCGCTATCGCGGGCTAGAGAAGTAGATCCCTTGTCTTAGATTTTCTAGCTCTCAAACACACTTTTGTTGTGTTGAGAGCTTGAGATCCGAGCCAGAATGATCAGAAATGAAGCCTTAAGGATACTAAGCAAGGAGAAACTCTAAAGGTCCTAGCTTTAAGCTCAAACTCCCTTTAAAGCTCTCAAACCGAATCACCTAAAACGATCTAAGACTACTCACTCATCCTGTTTGACAAACCGATTCTCATAAGAGGAAAGGTTGTTAACAAGTAAATGAATGTGATGAACAAACGAGTAAACAAGTACGTGATTTGATTAAAGGAAAAAGATCAAAGCTTACAAAGTCTAAGATCTCAACTAGAGTATTTCTTGGTGGCAAAATGAAAGACAAATTACAAGATGCCTAAAAACTTAGGACTTTTTAGTTTATATAGTGGAGACTCTAAAACCCTTCTTCCTTCCTTCCTTTCACTTAGGCATGGTCAACTCTCTTCTTGGTCAAGGAAAGCTTGTAAGGCGACAAACGGGTTCCTGATCCTGGTTCGCATCCTGGTTGCTCTTCGTCTTGACGTCTCCGACACTCCTTCTCCCAAATGGCTCCAAAGCTCCATTAAGTACCTGATTCAGACTCAAAATGCAATGTATATGCAATGCAAGTCCTAATGAAGATGCAAGTGTATAGATAGAGATATATGGATATAAATGTATGAGAATGAGACAGAAGGTGGAAATATGCATGTAAAGTATGCTAATGTATGTTAATATATGTGTATATCAACACCCCCAAACTTGAATCTTGCTTGCCCTCAAGCGAGAAGACAAATCTGAGAGATGCTGATATGTCGAGGACTCAAAACTCAAGGTGCAATGAGAGGAAATGAAGTCAATGATCAGGTTGAGAATCATAAAATGCAAGGCGAATGAGCTCTACTTCCAAAATTTTAGCCACACCCATCAAAGCAACAGAAGACACTAGACTCAACTTCCACAATGCATTCAAATAACTCTCATCCTTTAACATTCAATTATCAGAACCGTGAATCAACCACTCATGCATTTCAAAGTACTCGCTTGGCTTAAAGGGTAAGTTTCAAAGGACAAAGATGGTCCTGTTTTCTGGTTTCAAAATCAGCACAAGGGATCTCTCAAAGAAAAGGTTGAGCTTTAGTAGAATGCTAAGGGTAAAAACCAAGGATGATACAAGGCTAGACTTCCATCTACCCGAGAACAATGAAGCACAATCCCCTGTTTCCCAAGAATCCTATCTACCCAAGAAAGCATAACTTGCTTTTACCCTTTTCGGAACCTTTTTTTTTCTTTGCTTTCAAGCCTTAGGAGAGGTTTCTAAACTTCATCTAGCGGTTTGGGATTTCTTTTATTTGGCTTTTTAGGCTCTTTTTCTAAACTTGGCTTTTGCCTTTCTTTCTTTTTTTTCTAGCTAGAGCTTTTTTTCTTTCCCAAACCTTCACTAGAGAGCTACACTTTCACACTCTTCTCCTAAGAGACTCGGCTTAACTTTTCTTTCCCTTTTTAGGACTTTCCTTTTTGGAACTTTTCTTTCTCTCTTCTTCCTTTTAGAACTTCCCCAACCCAAATGGTGTTCCCCCAAACTTAGTCCTAACTAGCTCAAAACCGAGCTAGAATCTACATGGAAGCCTAGACCTTGTCGGTAAAAACCCAACACTTTCTACCAAGCTCAACCAAAAAGGCCTCACACACTCAGAAATAGCAATTGGTTTCAAAGAAAGGTTGGTTCAAGGTGGGGAAATCTACTTGGATTAACAAGAGTGGTGAAAAGGGTGAAAGATAATCCAAGTATGTATATGTATCCACGAGTTCTTAGCAAATGCACAAGGATGATAATTAGACATTCAAATTCAGGTTTCGATAGGCAGGATGAGAGATCAAATCACAACAATGCTTCAGCCATCTAGATGTCAAAGAGTGCATTCAAGGTGTGGTTCTTTCTTAACTTCAAGCTCACTCTATATGCACCAAATGATTCAAAACCGGATCATTGAAACCATTTCGAAAAATCACAAACTTTTATTCCTCATTGTCCTCTATGCAAATGGGATGATATGCATCTAGACTCAATCCTAAAATGCAAATGCTCATGATGCTTTTCTTTTTGGTGGAATGCAATTTTCGAAATTTTTCAATTTTTTTGGTTTTTCTATGCCATATATGCAAATGCAAACTACATGAGACTCAAGGATGAAAATTGAAAATAAGATTCACAGAAAACATGATCAAATGCTATGGACCTCTCCCCCAAACTTAAAATGCACAGTCTCTTGTGCATAAGAGAGTATGAGAAGAAGATCCATCAAAAGATGCAAAACAAAGAAAAATAAAAATGAGTGGTATTTACAATGATTTGAGTCTTACCTTATTCGTTATCAGGGTAGGGTGGTGTGGGACATCGTCAAGGTCGATTGGCTCCGTTGAAGACGTTGGAGGTGGTGATGCGCCGGTTTTTCTCTTCCGCTTGCTTCTCCTTAACGTTGGCTCCACGGTTTTAGTTGGTGATGCGGCTGATCGCGGGATCAGGTCTTCCCCTTTCCTATCCCTGATTCTGCAAGTGCACAGGTCAGAAGTAGTAAACGGGTATCGAACACAAGGACCAGATTACACACTACAAGTTATGAGTTTGAGAACAAGCTAGGGCAAAAGTATGAGTTGGTTGAGTGCAGAGAAAGTAAAGCATGCAAGTAATTAAAAGTAAGGATTCAATAGGAGAGAAAGCTAAGCAATAGGATAGTCTTGAGATAAGCAATTCAAGAAGCATGAAATCAATCAATTAGCGTTACCGCACTTAGGTGCTAATCTAGAACTTGAAACACTATGGTATGATCATTCCACTGTCGAGGCTCCGACCCCTTTGTTAATCTACCTAGTCGCTAAACTTTTGGTATGTCCCTAGGTGATTAAATCAAGCATTAGTTCGATCAAGATCAATTGTTCACAACCTACAAGTAGATCAACTGTCGCAGTCTAAAAGAGATTGCCCACCAAATACTAGTTCAGGCGAATGATACAGCACTGTCGAGGCTCAAATCAACCTAAACCCTAAACCCGGGTCGTGATGCGTGATCGGCCGAGTGGTTT